AAAAAACAACAAACCACCTCTGTGTCCTGGTCATACTCAATTACAGATCATTACAACTTGCTTGATAATTAATTTCCTCTGGTTGCTCTAACTGGCTCCCACCCCTTGTCCTGAACACAGGGCCAGTTTAGGTGAAACATTAAATCCTTGTCCTTTTGCACCACCAACACAGGCGCGCTCCCGGCGCTGCGCACGTCTCCCTTCTCCAGAGAGCTCTACCCTGCAGGGAGAGGAGAAAACCTTGCTGGCTGAATGAGAGCATAAAAGGGCAAGGATTTTTGTTTCCAGACCAAAATGGCCTTGAAATAATAAATTATAAATTATTTCTGGTCAGGAGTTAATCAATATAATAAGCTGACTGGATTTTTCAAGTGCCGTGCGTGTGCTGCCAACAAAGAGCCAGAAATGTGCAGTATGATCCGACGCCAGAGACACTGCACAAAGCGTGGAAATAGGTTTTCCTGAGGATGTCCAGGCGAGGAAGGCTGTGAGTACCCACACCACCCCTGTGCACCCCAGCACCCAATGCCAGCCCCGCTGCCGGCATCCTTAATTCTTCTAGAGGGGGGGAAAAGGGCCTGTGAGCTCTCTGGTGTGTGCTACAAAAAACATGTGTGTCTAACACCTCCCGCAAGGGAAAGGGCATTCCCATAATGGGAGAAAAAGGAAAAGAAAAAGAAAAAGGCGGCTGCTGGGAGATGGAGGGGAGCCAAGGCTTGCAGACCAGACCTGAACCAGTGACCTTCTCCGTGTACACAACGGGCGGGAGAGCTCCAGGGCAGGAGCAGCCGTCCTCACCCTCTGTTCCACCCGCAGAAACCCTTCTGCGTTGCTTTGCCACCGCCACGTTGTCACCAGCGGTGTCACCCCCCGGGATCAGACCCATCAGCAGGGCTCCCACATAAGCAGCGTGGGACATGAGGGACAGCAGTGGGTCACTGTCACCCAGGGACCCACAGGCCCTCTCTCAAGAGCAGCTGAGTGGGGCTGGAGCCCAGCCCAGTGTTTGCCCCCAAACACACACACAGACAACTCCTGCTCCCTAAATGCCTTTGGGAAAATTAAATATTCCATAATTCGGGCCAAGAATCCCTCGCAAAGGCCTGTGTCCCCTCCACAGCACCCCAAAAGGGCTGGAGTGCAGCATTCCTGGAGATGCAGCCTTGCTGGGACTCCTCTGGTCCCCATGGCCCCCAAACCCTTTCTGCACAGAGACGGGGGTCAAGGGGGACACACACACATCCCCTCCCGTCGCAGGGACACAACTATCCCCTCAGCAGCCGCGTCCTGCCACCCCAAACAC